CACAGATATAGTATTGACTATATCCACAGACATGTTAGTGATGATCTCTTCAGTTGATCTGTCAACAGACCCAGATTCCACCATTGTCCATTGAATGGCCGTCAGCTGTTCTAGAAACCGTCTGACGACTGAGCGAAGACGCTCTGTCGCAGCCGGTGTAAATACCTGATCCATCTCGTTTCTGCTTGTGGAACTCATGATCGTTTGTAGATAGTTGTCTTTTCGGATTCAAAGTAAATGTGTCCTGAAGAATCTGTCCTCACTGTGTTTGTCTCCTTGGTTGTGAAGTGAAGGTGCTGAAAGGTCTGACCTAAACGGGTTTAGATTTGGTTCCTATATCTAAATTGCTTGTCTTTGAATCAAAGGAACATTTCATTGTCTTTGATCTTTGAATGACATCATGACATTCAGATGACATCATCACAAAAGATTAAAAAAAAATAAAAACATTCCGTTAAAACGATTTAAAAATAAACAAATAAACTTTTCTTGTCATCCATTTTGTTTGAAATGTCATTTGCCTTATTTTTGCTGTATAATCTACCAAACATGAAAACCTAAATACAGATTATGTAGTTCTGTATAAAGGCCCCTCGTCCATAATCCAGAGTATGAAGTTTGTTATATGAATGGATGTTAATGATCATTTTGTACTTTTTTTTTTTACATTTTTCACAATTTTCTGATATTTTATGGAACAAATATTTACAAATAAATAAATAAACAACAGATTTCATCATTAATGAACATAATCTTTAATTTCAGCCCTAATATTCAGTTATCTTTATATTTGACCTCTGCATATCACTATTTCTTTTACAGAGTATAGCAATAAGCCTGTAAGACCATTTATAGTGATAACAAATACCAATGTATACATGTGTAAAATCCAAAACAAATTTGGAATTTGAATTGTTTTAGGCTCTGGGCTTCTTAGTAACTATCAACACAATATTGAACAATTCTTTAATAAAAATGCATTTAATCATATAAAAGATGGAAAACACTAAATGGTGCGTTATTGCTGATTGACTACAAGTGACAGTAAATATATATCCATAGTTATATCTTTGTCAACACAGTTTCACCCAGTAAAGTCAACTGCATCAGTCTCAAACATACAGCTAATACACCAACAGTTAAGATTATAACAGGGAAATTTCTTCTATGTGGCTTTAAAGAACAGTAAAGAGACAGTACGGGAAATAGTGTTGAAAAATGTCCAAATTCTCTAATTTCAGCTTCTCAAATTTGAATATTTTCAGGTTTCTTTTGTCCTCTTTGACAATAAAACTAAATATCTTTGATCAACATTTTTCACCATTTTTCTGACATTTTATGGAACAAACAACAAATCGATTAATTGAGAAAATAATCAACAGGTTCATCATTAATGAAAATAATCGTTAGTTGCAGCAGTTTTAGTTGAACACTTAACTGCTAAATAATTCTTCAAAGCAAAGTTTGATGCAGTGTTGCTCTGCTGCTGTCTACTGATCAGCCGCCATTAAACGCTCTTCTTGTCTTCATGAAGGGGATTTAACTTGTGAATAAACTATTATTTTCTATAAAGATGTTCTGCTTCTCTACAGCTTTATAAGAGGAACTTGGAGATATGACTCCCTGGATTACTGAGAAAGGAGATTACATTGAGCTTTAAGCAGTCGTGGTGATGATGTGCTGTAAGTCAGTGTTTCTTTAATATAATTTTCATTTAGCTTTGATTCAAGTAAAATGTTCCTTTTAAGGCCATCGGATGCAGTAACCATTAGTTTGAGTTATTATTAGCCACGCTAGCGATATGGCTCCATACGGCAGTGGTTCCCAACCTTCATTTAGTAAAGTGACGACTCCTGATTAAGATTAATTCTCAACTAAGTTTTAATGTAGTTTCCAGACGAATCATAGTTATCACACCTTTGACAAGCCGACAAACGCGAGGTGTAGAGATTTCTTTTTGAGATCTTGAGATGTAACCACGCTGTCTTATATTGTATAGGGACAGATAACAATGAAGAGAAAGGGAAATATTTTGTTTTAAAGAAGCACAAACGAAGCCCAGCCAGACCCCAGTCCCAATACCAACAACCCTGGTAGCTCCCAACCTGGGCTTAGCCAGGCAAGTCAGTGTGGTCAGACACAAGGTCCTTCTCTACCACCACCACCACCAGGTCAGAGCATACAGAACCAGTAATGCCCAGTTCAGACACTAAAATACTTTAACCTCATGCTGTAAGAAAGGGTGATTTTTGATAGATTAAGCCTTATTTTGAATTTTGATTAAGCTTGTAGCAATAGATGATTTTGTGTGTGATGTTATTTGATGGCTGTTTTCTTTTTACAATAGTTTCATCAATGGATGAGAGTGACACCGATACCTCTGTGTGTGTGTGTGTGTGTGTGTGTGTGTGTGTGTGTGTGTGACAGAGAGAGAGAGAGATAGAGAGGTAGAAAGATGCATCTGGGTTATGGAAATGGTCTATTGATACTTTGCAGTCACGTGGTTACCATGGATACCTGGCGGGCAAGAAACGCCGACAATATGGCGACGAACAGCGGCCAGCCAGGGGAATTGCAGCCTTGTAGATTTCCAATACTACAATCAATTAACTATTTAGACCATATGTCACCAAATGTTAAAATTAGATATCAAGAAAAGATTAACATACTCGGAACGTGTGATCCATACACAGCACCCGCTGATGTTTTCATTGCTTTGAAGCTGGCAAAGTCTCTACCAGACCGGAGTTTGGAGATATTGTGACATCTGTTCCTTCGTGTGATGAAGTCTTCATCTGAATATGTACACCCTGCCTGCTGGAACCTTATGCCAACTAGGTTGTATCCATATTATGGCTAGCAGGATGTCAAACATTGTAGCCTACCTGCTTATCCACTCCACATAGCATCAGACAACAGACAAGAGCAGCTGGGGCAGCGAAATGCAATCTGTTAGTAGTAATAACTGTACGATAGTATGTATGCAAAGTAACTGTAAGTAAATAAGTAAGTAATAAGTAGACGCAGTACAACAGTAACGTGCCATTCATTCTCTATGTAATCTTCTTCTCATCATATCAAATCACATAAGTTACATGATAAGGCGTTCTTGCCACCTACTGGCGAACGTGTAAGCACGTTTATGTTAAGGCTACACGATTTAGGGCTTAGCTCAGTCGGCAGAGCTGGCAACCCATATATACAGCGTCCCCAGTTCAAATCCGACCTTCAGCCTTTTGCTGCATGTCATCCCCTCTCTCTGCCCCCTTTCCTGTCTATCTCCAGCTGTCTCTCTATCAAATAAAGGCCAAAAAAAGTATTCTTAAAGATTACACGATTGACATGAAACATAACATCAGCGAATCAACAGTCTGAATGCACGTCTGCTATGACAGGAGAATTTATGGCCGTCACTGTCATTAGAAGTGAACCCAGCTGGACGCATAGCTTGCAGTTCGTCTGATTTGTCTGCCCACGTGATGCCACATGTAAACATATATGGTAGCCTAATTAAAAAAAGAAAAGAAATGTGTAGCTTTAAGCTGTGCTTGTGAATTATAGACTTTATCTAACTAAAACTGCGTGGCACTACTTCCACTGACAAGGCCTGTACATGGAATGAGCCTAGTATAGCAGCCAGTAGAAAAATAGAGTGTGTAGAGGGGAGCCAGATAGTTTTTTCTAAGGCCCAGAGAAAGAGAGCAGCAGATGGGTGTGGTGACCTTCCCCCTGCTAAAATTCCACCTCCAACTCCTGCTGAACGTGCAGCACTGTACAACATGCTACACCTTTCCGAGAAGAGTGAGAAGGAACCAGTAAGGAGTGCCATTCTAGCTTTAGTTCCTGGCCATGCACAGAGATATATACCTCGGGCTGTACAAATGAATATTCCTAAATCCCTTAGCAAAATGTACACACCGTTGAACAGGGCACTCTCACACGCAGAACTATACTCAAAGAGTGAAGAGGTCTTTGCAGGCTTGAGCATAACTGAGGAACAGGTACTTTATTTATACATCAGGGAGTGTGGTTTATGTATGTATGTCAGGGATGTCTTAGGAAAAGGACATTTTGAGTGCAGGATCAAAGTTTTGACAAAATTGTCAAAATGTAAATGTATTACTGGTGATTTGCTACAAGAATTTCACACAGTTTTTTACATTTTAGTGCTGTGCAATAGAAAGCGAGACAAGACTTCAATCCAAATCCACTATGTGGTACGACCAGAAAGCAGGAAGGGTCACTGCATCTAACATCCGAGCAGCCTGCCACACTAACTCAGAAAAACCAGCTGTGTCCCTGCTGAAAAAGCTTTGCTACCCCGTGGCCTACAAAGCTCGAAACACACCACATTCTCAGGTACTACACAATGCCTTCAATTAACAATCAAATAACTTCCACAAAAAATAGTTGAGGGGATTTCCATTTCCTTTACCTTAATGATATGCACATTATGGAGGTTATCATAATCTATCATTTTTGATACTTAAATATTGTTTGTTTCAGATGGGGCATAGAACATGAGGGAAGGGCCGTGGAGGAGTACTCCAAGATCATGAAGGAACATCACACCAACCTCAATGTCAGGAGGGCAGGGCTGGTCATTAGTCCTAAATACCCATGGTTAGGGGCATCCCCAGATGGCATGTTAATGTGTGACTGCCATGGGATGGGTGTGTTAGAAGTGAAGGCCCCAAGTAGTCTTGAGAACAGCAGTTTAGTTGACAAAATGAAACAGGATGGCACATTTTGTCTCCACGAGGTAGAGGGTAAAGTTTCACTAAAGAGGGACCACCAGTACTTTTACCAAGTGCAGACACAAATTCACTTAGCAGAGGCAAGCTACTGTGACTTTGTTGTTTGGGGACCAGGGATAGATGGCAAAGGAGAAGTGCACATTGAGAGAATTATGCCAGATACAGTCTTCTTTGAAACTATGCGTGGAAAGGTTCACACTTTTATCCGAACATGTGTCATTCCTGAGCTATTGGCAAAAATTTTTACAGCACCTGTTCAAGCAACATCACATGATGCCACCAAATCGTCTGAAGGCTGTTACTGTGGTATGCCTGTTCTGGATACTGATGACAAAATAGAGTGTACATCGGGAATCTGTAAAAGACTGTACATGCACAGAAGTTGTTTGCAGACTACTGATCTTAGTGTTTTGAATTGGAAGTGCAGTGTCTGCAAACAGGAATTGGCAAAACGCAAACGTGCACAAAGAAAACAAATGAAAAGTGCTGAATTTTGAATTGTACTGTTAGACAGACAAATACAGATTTAATCAGCAAATAAATACAATGCACATACAAAGATAAATAAAACAGATGAATACAAAAAAATACAATGCACATAGGTATTCAAAGTGAAAATGTAATACATTTATGTACATAGATGTTTCTTAGTGTGTGTAGTTTGTGCGTGTGTTTGTATAAATAAATAATTGTATATTTACATTGTATTAATGTTGTACTGTATTCAGTAGTGTTTAACCAGAAGGAATAATTGAGGGTGTCACATTTGTAAGGGCACAACACACATGGACTACTTTGTCTAAAGCTGTTAACCCTTTGGGGTGTTCAGCTTCACACATCTGGATACCAATAGTACTTTGTAGTATAGTGTATCGGTTTCTTGTTTCACCGATAACTCTCTCTACATGGATTCTTACTGAGGCAAGTCCACGTGTGGACTCCAGCTCTACTGGGCTCAATTGTTTCCTTCCTTTAGTGAAAGCTGGGATCTTCAGCTCAGCATTATACAAGCTAATAGACTCTGCCACGTTAAACCCTCGATCAGCCAGTATTACATCACCTGCACTGATGCATTCCAGAAACCCAGAATTTTCTGTGACACGTTTGTCTGATGTTCTGCCTCCCCATCCCTTAGGTATGAATATGACTGTTCCTTGTGGGGATATGCCTATTAGGTATTTCATGGTGTGATGATGTTTATAGGTCGAATATGTTTGTGCTCTTGCTTCTAAGTCTCGAAACAGTCAATTATGCAGGAACATCTAGGGTAAGTTTGTCTAAATATCATGGGCATTGACAGCCGAAGCTCTTCTCTCTGTGGCCAAAATAAAAATGACGAGACAAGCTTTGCATGTAGCATGTCAAGGGTAGTTCTAAAAGTTCTGCTTGCTGTCGCTATCGAGATTTGGAAGTAGAGCAAGGGACAGGTTCATTTTCATCCTCATAAGAGTTAAAAGAAGTTGATGGAAAGGAGAGAGGGTTGCGTGTGTCGGAAGACATAAAATAACACTATATAAAACTACTTGCAGCTTGGCAAACGTGGGGAGTCCTGTCAGTGCTTTCACTTTTTCATCGTCATTTTCAAAAGCCTGTTCGTCCAATATTCCTAATTTGGTTTTCAGCCTGCGGTTTTCCTCCCTGAGGTCATCACACTCCTGCTGTAGCTTTGCCATGTCATCTTTGCAGTGATTGCTGAGACACTGTTGTGGCACAGGCTCTCCTGAAGACAGTTCCAAGAGGACATCCACAGCATCTTGTTTCTTTTCCACCTCCATCCTCTTGATTTGGATTCTGCTGTGCTGCTCATACCTTTTGTTTACAAGGACACAATGACATTTTTGTCACATATATAGAACTAATATTGTAAAATATGTTTTAAAATTACATTTGGTTATACTTTACTGTGCAGGGAGAACTGTTAAGAAAGAATTCAATACGAGAGTGACACAATAGAAGAAAAAAAAACACTAGATGAGCATGTAAAGTAAATGACACAGCAATACATTTCAGACACAGCCTTATTATACAACATTCAAAGTCAAACCTTTCCATGTCTTTCTCCCTTTTCCTCTTTTTGGTGGCAGGGGTGTGAGAGAAGACAGATGGAACCCAATCAGGGGACAGCAGGTCATCAGATGTGGCACCTGAAATAATAAAATAAGATAATATAATAGATAAAAAACTTTACTGCTACACAAGGTTTGGGGTATTTTCAACGTAGAGTCCTGTAGTTCCAGGTCTTTCTAGTAGCTATCAAGAACAGCCTGTTAGCGAGCTAGCTGCATAACTATGAACTAGGATTAACTCCAAGGAGCTAAATTGTGTAAAGCAGACAAGGTTTTTTAAGATAATCGAGCAGTAATAATTCCTCCGTAAATAATCTAGCTCTACTGTTGGGTCTTCTCTGGTTCTCATTGAAAACCGTAGATATTACAAACCTCAGCTTAGACTAATAACACAAACAGCTGACTCGCCGAACCAGCTGCTGTTGTTGATTCACGAAACTACAGGGTAACTTAAAGACACGATTAATTACATGATGATACACCCATTGTATTCAAACAAATTACCTTTGATGAAATGATCACTGCACAGACGTGTATACTGTGAAGGTTGCCAGGTCCCATTTCCTGAAACGGTTGCACGTCTGATAGCCTGTATCCACAGTTGTCTTCTCTCTGGATTCTCCTTATCAGATGGGATCCGGTAAAAACATAACCCCGGCTTATCTCCTCGGCGGTTAGTGCATCCAATCGCACAACAACTATCTGGCATGTCGTTCACCTCAAAACACCAACTTTTGTAACGTTATAGTAAAACTGGCGACGTCCTGGCAAGACAGTAAACTGTGTTTCGTTGCTGGAGAACGACGTTCTTGCCCGCCAGCCAGTAGTTGTGACGTCACGTGCAAAGTATGAATTAAAGGGTTCATTTGGGGTTCATCTGGGACCAGGTTGGAGTAACACAATAATTTCCCTTATTAATGTATGGCCTCCCTCATAAATCCTTGCCCACCCTCTGGCTACCCCTTGTATATAATTCTAGCTCCGCCACTGGTTGAATTTAAGAATGTGTACCTTTGATCTAAAATCAATGAGAACATTTCTTCCAACAATAAAAATAAGTGACTTTGTCTTAAATTAAAGCACCAGAAACATTTAAATTTTATGTATTATATGGGACAAGATGGATTTCTCTTAAACTGAGAAGTTGTTAGAGTGGTTTTACTCTTAAAATGAGGAAAATAATCTTGTTCCTCTGCTGGAATATTATACAAACCATCGTTCTGACTGTTATTGGTTAAATCTTTGTCAGTTTTAAGCTGTAATATCTTATTTATTTTAATACTTTTACAGCAGAAAATTGATGGTTACTCAAAAGTATCAAATATAGTTAGATGTTTTTGTAATTTCTTTGTTTATATATAACTCCAAACACCCAGTGCTAATAATAAAAACAAAGTAATAAAACAATCTTGTCCATAATCGTCATACAAATTCCCTCCAATATTCATAATTTATTGTTTTATGAATTTCTCTGTATGTTTGTTTCCACTCCTCTCCCTTCCACTGGTCTCCTCTTTCTGAAATACATTGATGTTTAATGCTGTTTGTGTCCAATGAACCACAAACAAAAATTAACCCTCTGAAATGTTTTTTATACAACTTATAGAGTTGGGTAGTTTCTGTGTAACCCAGCCGCTGCGCCATATTACTCCCGAAGCATCCTCCTCGTTTATAAAGAGGAAAGGAAAGTCAAAGAAAAGCTTTGTATTCACTTTTTTACCCTCCAAAGTCAAATAGGAGTGAAAACTATCACTATCTGTGTTATGTTACCATGTTATCCTCCAGCTTTTGGTCCGTAAGCTTTAGCTAACGTTACCTGAGAGCCAAACCCCGGCTGTTAACCAAACTTCACTCTCATATCGGGCTGTTTTGTTTTTGCCTTAAATGTTACTGAAATCACAAACCGGAACATAACAATGGACATTTCTCATTAAACTTATAAGTGTTGTGGTAAATTCGGCGTTCATATAATCCACCAACTAAATTGTATTTGTAAGAAAATCCAAGATAAAGTTGATGTATTGTTAGCAGGGCTACGTAATGGCACACCAAACCTCCATTGTGGTTTTAAAGTTTATTTCAGACGTGATTGTTACCGACATTATAGCATGTTATATTCAATTAGGGCCGATGTAGTAAAACAATCGCTTGTTGTCGGTAAAGTCGGAACAAACCTGGTTCAAATTTAAAACAAACATAAGGCAGTTCAGACGTTGTTCAGTTATACTGCGGGGTTTGGGATTCCTCCAGCGGCTCACCGACTGTTAATTTAACGGTAGTAAAGATACATGAATCTGTAACTGACAGTGTGAGCTTCTACAGGCTGTTTTCCTGTTGTTGTATTAACGTTACAGACAAAGTGCTTGTTAGCTAAAGAGACTTTATTTATATGTTCTGAGTCAATGGCAGATGTGTACAGAGATGGAGAAATGATGAATTAAACTAACTGTTATGTTAACTGTAATGCTGGTAATAATAAATAACTGTATTTAACTTTGATTAATCTTAGTGCTTGATACAGTTTTAAAACTGTAAAGTAAACAGCAGTTATACTAAACTCTGCCAAGCTCTCTGACTAACTAATAATAGCCCTAATGTCATTTTCTAATATTGTTTTCCGTTCTTTAGTTTGCACCAAACCTTCTGAAACATGGCTGCCTGTGTACACGGAGAAGATAAATATTTATTTTACAGATTTTACTGTAACTCAACGTTTACTATTAATTCTTAACAGAACTGGTTTTGTTTAATTGCAGTTAACAGGCAATTCAGTTTAATTCAAAAACTTTATTAGACAATCAATGTATGTTTGTGCGTCAGTGATTTAATTTAAATCACATGACTCTCGTCTCTTGAGACTGTAGGACTGAAGATATCGATTCATTGAGTAATCAAGTATTCTATTGATTATTCCATCGATTAATCGAGTAAAACATTAACATAGAGTTTCCTCTAGGATTATTTTCAGCAGTGGAGGAAAGTCTTCTGTTCGGCTCTCACTGAACTGGTAGAGGAGTATTTTGTGGTATTTGTGCTTTTACTTCAGTAAAGGATCTGATTCTTCCTCCACCCACAGACTAACAGCACCTGTGTGTTACCGGCTGAGCCTTTCCCCTTTAAGGAAGGTGGATTGTGGGTAACCTGCGCCGGTTTGTTGTGGGAAGTGAGTCTTTCCTGGTGTTTGAGGGATAGAAACGTTACTTTAGTCATCCATAAAGTGTGTAGATGAGTTCAGGTTGCAGTATAATAGTTACTGAAAGGCTGTGTGTTGTGTTTGCTGTGTGTGTTTGAAGAAGCTACCAGCTGCTTCATGTGCAGCCGTTGCCATGATGTAATGAACTTAATAAGAAAGATTTTAAAAACCAGAAATATCATTTATATATATTTATTTTTGATTTTATTACACTTGTTTAAAATGTGGGAGGAAACTGAAGCTTTTCGGAGTAGAAAACCTGTAAATTTAAAGACAGTCATGGAAACCATAAAAGTCATGGAAGTCATAAAATATTTATAGTTCTATACTACAGATTGTCTACTTATTTTGTCTGAAACTCGACTACTGGTAGTATTACGTTACACTTCAAAGCAGGTTTACAACAGACTAATAGGTGAGAAGATCTGTGAAATAACAGTAAATTCTACTTGATTTCTTACTTGTGGGCTGTAGCTAAAGTAATATTACTCATTAGATGACAACTGAAGTAAAATGTAGTCAATTCACTGGAGAGTACGCAGTGAAGAAGAATTAATGCAGCGTGTGCCATGAACACTGACCACCTGACCCAATCAGACATCATTCAGTGAGGTTTTCAACAATAAAGTCCAAAAAAAAATGAAAACAAAAATGTAAAAGGATAGCAGGAGATACCAGTTACACATCTTCATCCAGGTAGAAAATAATAATAAAGATTTTAAAAACCAGAAATATAATTTATATGATTTTTATTTGATTTGATTATAATTATTTAAAATGTGGGAGGAAACCGAAGCCTCTCGGAGTAAACCCTCGCCAACACAGTGAGCACTCTGTACTCCTCACAGCAAAGAGGTCGAGGCCCAGACTTGAACCGTCTCCTTAATGCTGCAAGGCCACAGTGTTACACACTGAGGCACCTGTGTGGCCCTATTTTCAATTCAATTCAGTTTTATTTGTATAGCATCAAGTTGATCCAACAGTTCCCACCATGAGCAAGCACTTGGCGACAGCGGCAAGGAAAAACGTCCTTTTAAGAGGCAGAAACCTCGAGCAGACCCCGGCTCTAGGTGGGCGGCCGTCTGCCTCGACCGGTTGGGATTAAGAGAGAGAGAGAGAGAGAGAGAGAGAGAGAGAGGGAGGTGGGGGTTAAAGAGAGAGAGAGAGAGAGAGAGAGGGGGAGGTGGGGGGTTAAAGAGAGAGAGAGAGAGAGGGAGGTGGGGGTTAAAGAGAGAGAGAGAGAGAGGGAGGTGGGGGTTAAAGAGAGGGATAAAGAGAGAGAGGGAGAGAGAGGGAGGTGGGGGTTAAAGAGAGAGAGAGAGAGAGGGAGGTGGGGGTTAAAGAGAGAGAGAGGGAGGTGGGGGTTAGAGAGAGAGAGAGAGAGAGGTGGGGGTAAAAGACAAAGATGCACAGTAACAACAATATCAACAAGTACTATCGGAAGTGACTAATGATGACGACAATAGCTACAACGATGGTAAATGATGAATAATAGTGATGATGATAATAATATGACTAATGTCGCATCCAGGTGGAACACTTTATGCTTCTAGCTGAACTGAAGCTAGTAGCATAAAGTGTTCTGTTGGACATTTTCTTTTAAACTTAGCTGTTAGTTGTTTTTTTTAGATAATTTAAAAGGTGGGCGAACCGAAGCCTCTCGGAGAAAACCGCACGTCTACACAGCTGTGGAAAAAGGTCTGTCCTATCTACCCCCCGAGACCGCCAAAGATTACTGTCTGCAGCCACGTCTGAAGCAGGCAGTGAATGGTTTGGCCATGGTCTTGGCGACACGTGAAAAGAATCCACCAGACTTTTTTGGTGTCACCAGATGCTTTTTGAGAGTCTCAGTTATGAGACTGTAAATTAAAGCATCCCGGGACAGAAGGCACATTTGCAGGATCTTTGCGTCGCCTACCTTCTTGCACAACTCCTTGTGCACTGCCTTGGCGATCCTCTTGAAGTGATGGCCGCTTGGTTTGATGGCAACATTGGACGTTGCCATCTCCACCCACAGCTTCTCCTTCAATGACCTGCTGATGGTTTCTATGTCATCACAGGTCAGATTCATCTGCAGATCCTTCCACAGATTTTTCTTGATCTGGAGGATCAGCGCACTCACCATCATAGTGCAGCTGCTTTCATCCCACTGAACAGCTGGGTGTGCTGCGGCCTCAGCTTCAGCTTCACCACGGATCCACGAATCCATGGTCTGACCAGTAGTGGTAGGTGGTGATGATTCAACCATAAGAGTCAAAGCATCATCTTCTTCTTCACTGACCAGTGAATGGACAATCTCAACAGTGATTGAAAGTACTGCTGGTTCATCATCTTCCTCACTGATCAGTGGATGAAAGGGCTCAACAGTGAAGCAAAGAGGTGTTGCTTTGCCACTGGAGGCGCTCTGCAGACTGAGGGAAGCTGTTTCTGGTTCCCACACAGGTGTCAGACTGCCACTTACCTTGAAAGAGGGACTTTCTATGAGCCCTGGCAGACTGATGACTTCCTTTATCTGC